GCCATTTATTACATTTAATTAGCCTTTAGCTACTTTCAGCTTCTAGTAAGCCTTTTGCTAAACTAACATCAACTCAAAGTTTGGTCATTTTTGAAAGGTGCTAAAGAAACAAAGTGTTGTTTTAGCTTTTAGCTAGGCTTTTGATATTGATAGTTTTGGTTTCCAGTTAGCCTTTTATTACGTTTAACAAACCTTTAGCTACTTTTGTCTTCTAGCTAGCTTTTTGCAACACTTATGTCAAATCAAATCAAAGTTTATTTCTGTATCATTTTTTTTAAATGACCAAATGCTGTACAAGCGTTTGATGTTTTAGCTGATACTTAGCTTTTAGTTGGCACTTTTTTACTTTTAGCTAGCTCTTTGCTGCTTTTAGCTTCTGTTCTTTCAGCCTTTTGGTGTTTTTAGCTTTTAGGTTAGCTACATTTGTTAATGATTATGGAAGTAGAGTTATATTTTGTAGATGTTTAAAAATAGGGTACTTTATTTTGAAAGTCCCTTGTTGTTCATCGTGTTCGTACTCTTATTGTGACAACAGGACTTGAGGATCGGTTCTGTTTTCTCTCTGACGGAGGACTCCAAACTGTCCCCCGTGGACCCGCCTGGGTCCTGCTCCACCTGTCAGCGGGTTCTGGAGGACGGGGCGACGGTTTACCAGAGGAAGGCCCACACGGACTTGTTCTGCTCCACTTCCTGCCTGCTGAAGTTCTACCAGAAGAAACCCGTGAAAACGACGTGCCACTTCTGTCTGCGGTGAGTCTGCAGAACTTTCTGACCCGGGACACCATCGGGTTTATCCCTTTTTAAATCGTGTTCTGTACGGGGGAAGTTTTCTAAAAGCCTTGTTCTGTGGAACCTTTGACCCGATCCGTTTGGGTTCTTTCAGGGTCATAACGAACCCTCAGGACGTCCTCCGGGCGGCGGCGGGGACCGCGGGGACGAAGGACTTCTGCAGCCGGACCTGCCTGTCCTACTTCAACTACCAGAGGATCGTTTCCACCAAACTTCCTTTGGTTCCCGTCGCCTCCCACTCCCAGTGCAGCGCCTGCAGCAGACACTGCATCGTAAGGAACGCACAGACGGGTCCCAACCTTCCTCCAGGAGGACGTGAGACAAAAACCAAGTCTGGTTCTGGTTTCTCCCCCTGCAGAGCAAACACGAGGTCATTCTGCAGGGCGTGGTCCGCAAGCTCTGCAGCGACCCGTGCTTCTACCGTTTCTGCACCATCAACAAGCTGTCGGTGTGCGAGAACTGCGGCTCGGCCTGCAGCAAACCGCTGTGCCTGAAGACGGAGGGTGGCGACAAGCCGCTGTGCGGCGCCGAATGCCTGGCCCGGTTCAAGAAGGTAGACGGTCGGTTCCTTCAGCTTCCTGTCAGGACAGCCGTGCAACATCTCTTCAGCTTTTATTGGAGCAAGACTAGTTAGATGTTCTCTTCAGCTGAGAGCCCAACGATGGCTGAAGGAGCTGAAACTAAGTTGTTGAAGTAAGAAGAAGCAGAACACTAGCTGTAAGCTCAAAGAAGCTAAGCACTAGCTAAAAGCTAGAAGAAGCAATAAAGTAGCTCAAACCTAAAGTAGAAAAAAGATAAGCTAAAAGAAGCAAAAGAGTAGCTCAAAGTTAAAAATAGCTAGGTAACAGTAAACTAAATGTTGCAAAACTGCACCTAAAAGCTCAAAGTCGCAAAAGGGTAGCTAAAATTAGAAATGGGGTAGCTAAAAATAACAGCACTAGCTGAAATAGCAAAAAGGTAATAAGAAGTAGCAAAAGGGTAGCTAAAATAAGGAGAAGTAAAGTGAAAACTAGTGAAAGACTTATTAAAATGGTTATTCTAAATATTGAGTAGCCATTTCAAAAGTATAAAAGTTGTTAAAACCAAGAGTCACAGCCTCATCTCCTGAATGAGCCGAATGTTTTCATGTATTAACAGCCAAAAAACACAAAGTGTACCACAGAGCAGCGAGTGCTGACCCAGTTTTCAAACCATGGACGCTCCTCTGACGTTTCAGTGAACGAGTCGTAACGTGGAGGCAGCAGCTGATTTGTTTCCTGTTTTTGTTTGTTTGTTTGTTTGTTTGTTTGTTTATGGTTTGACAGACAAACCGGGCGGAGCAGACGTGCGCGATGTGCCGCAGCCCTCAGCTGATGTCAGACATGGTTGAACACAGGAACAGTGACGACATCGTGGAGCTCTTCTGCTCCAAAAGCTGCGTGATGGCGTCCAAAATCCAGAGCATCTGCACCTCAGGTACACGGTGGTCACAGCCGGTCTCTGGAAGTCCTGGTCCAGACCTCATTTGGTTTTTAAAGTCTGGAGAACTGTTCAAAGCTGAAGTCTGGCTGCTAACATCCTCCCCCAGGCGTCTCGTTGGACTGCGACAACTGCAGGAAGACGACGGTCCCGGTTTGTCACCTCGCCATGTCCGACGCCTCCATCAGAAACTTCTGCTCTCTGACCTGCGCCATGGAGTTCAAGGTAGCTAAAGAAAGGCCTTTTCAGCTAAAACACAGAATAACGCTGAGCGCTAAATGACTGCCCAAACTAGCCGAAGAAGTTTAAACTAAACTGAAGTAAAAACAAGCAGAAGAGAAGGTAAAGGCAGCTGAAAGTAGCTAAAAGATACAAGCAGAAAAACGGTAGCTAAGAAACTGAAAGCAACAGAGCAGAAGCTAAAAGCAACAGAACTGTAGCTAGAAGCTAAAAACAGGAGAACAGAAGCTAGTAGCTAAAGGCATGAAAACAATAGCTAAAAGCTAAAATC